TTTCAAATTCAGAAATGCTAAGCTTATTGAGGAAGTTGACCCTAGTGGGAGTTACCCTCGAAAGATAGAGTGGAAGGAATCACGGGATCCGGATACAACACCCATGAATATAGGTGAATTGGTTGTCTTTCAAGATAATCAACCCGATAGTCTTGAAAATCAACAAATTCAAAAACTTCCACCACAAGAGGAACAAGTCAACATAGAGCTTGTAGCTCAAGTCCCAATTGAAACTACAGAATTACGAAGATCCTCACGAGCTAGAAAGTCAGCAATTTTTGGTGATTATTTTGTATACTCAATGGAGTCTGATTTTGACATCAGACCTAAAGATGATCCTATTTCATTTTCCAATGCCATGAATAGGGATGATTCTAAATTATGATATGATGCTATGAAAGAAGAGTTAGAATCTATGGCTAAGAATCAAGTTTGGAAAATTGTCGAGTTGTCTAAAGGAGTTAAAGCTGTTGGCTGTAAATGGGTCTATAAGACCAAGAAAGACTCAAATGGTAATGTCGAACGATATAAGGCCAGACTTGTAGCCAAGGATTTTGCTCAAAGAGAAGGCATCGATTATCATAATACATTTTCTCTGGTTTCTAAAAAGGATTCATTTCAAATTGTCATGGCATTAGTAGCTCATTTTGATTTAGAGCTACATCAAATGGATGTGAAAACAGCATTTTTAAATGGGGATCTTGAGGAAGAAGTATGCATGAACCAACCTGAAGGTTTTTGTTCTGATAAAGATAATCACTTAGTTTGCAAGCTTAAGAAATCCATATATGGACTAAAACAAGCTTCCCGACAGTGGTATTTAAAGTTCCACAATGTTATTACTTCATATGGTTTTACGGAGAATGTTGTGGACAACTATATGTACCTTAAGGTTAGTGGGAACAAATACATTTTTCTAGTTCTATATGTGGATGACATTTTACTTGCATCTAATGATTTGGGATTGTTGCATGATACTAAACAATTTCTTTCCCAAAATTTTGAAATGAAGGATATGGGTGAAGCTTCTTATGTCATTGATATAGAGATTCACAGAGATAGGTCCAAAAGGACATTAGGACTGTCGCATAAAGCCTACATTGAAAGAGTTTTGGAGAAATTCAAGATGAGTGATTGCACTCCTAATGCAGCGCCCATTTTAAAGGGTGACAAATTCGGTTTAATTCAATGTCCAAAAAATAATTTGGAAAAGGAACAAATGGTTAGCATTCCCTATGCATCTGCCGTAGGCAGTTTAATGCATGCTCTGGTTTGTACACGGCCTGACATTGCATTTCCAGTTGGGATGCTTGGAAGATACCAAAGTAATCCAAGAATGGAACATTGGAAGGCTGCAAAGAAAATCACGAGGTGCTTAAAGGGAACCAAGGACTACATGCGTACTTACAAGCATGTTGACTGTCTTGAGGTGGTTGGATATTCAGACTCGGATTTTGCGAGTTGTCAAGATTCCAGAAAATCCACTTTAGGATATGTCTATCTGCTAGCAGGCGGTGCAATTTCATGGAAGAGCGCCAAAGAGACGATAATTACATCGTCAACAATGGAAGCAGAGTTTATAGCATGCTTTGAAGTAGCCTCACAGGCTATTTGGTTAAGTAATTTTATCACAGGGCTTCGAACTATGGATTCACTTTCTAGGCCATTAAACGTTTACTATGATAATTCGGCTGCTGTTTTCTTCTCTAACAACAACAACAAAAATGGTAGCCGAAACAAGCATATTGACATAAAGTATCTTGTTGTTCGAGACCGTGTTAAGAAGCAAGTAGTCAGCATTGAGCATATTAGTACCGATATGATGGTTGCAGATCCCATGACCAAAGGTCTTTCTGTAAAGGTGTTTTCAAAACACGTTAAGGGCATGAGACTGATTGATTAGCTCAATAATTTTTCTAGTTGTTTTATTTTGTTTTGTCATGACATTTTGATTATTAAGCATCATTTTGTGCACCTAAAGTATTTGTGATGCTATGCTATGCAGTCCATTGGGACTATTGATCCATAGGGATCATTGGACCCAGAATAACTTATTAGAAGTTATTCATAAAGAATGACACCACATAAAGTTGAGAGTGTGATTCAATGTAATACATGGAAGGAAATACTTAATTGATAGAGTATAACCGCCATGATTCGTGTATTATAACTCTAAGGTTTGGGTATTTTTATTTAATGGCCATGATCAGTTTGTTGGTTACCCGACAGTCAACAACATGTGTTCTATGTGTCAAGTGGGAGAATGTAAGAATATCCATAAAGTGGCCCATATGCCACAAGTTTGTTTTATTTATTTATTTATATTATGTATATATATTTATTATATATATTTAATTAGTTTAATGGTTAATGGGTAACTACGTCTGTTCACTATCCCATATGGTGGTTTCATGGGACCTAATAACTTCCCTGATGGTGGGAAGTTATAAGGAGTTACACTTGGATATGGGTCCAAAGCCTATTTATATATATGCCTGTGATATCCATCAAACACAGACGTTGTTTTGTGAATAGAATAGGCTTGAAACTCTGTTCCTTCCACTTTTCCCATATGGTTCTGTAAAAGTGTTTAGTGAGTGGGTTATGTTTATACATTTAAGATTTGACCATTCAAGAACAAGATTCAAAGACTTGAACATCATGGAAGGAGGTATTCTTCTTTCTGAATTAATATTAGTTCATTATATTTAATTTTTCCCCTAAGAAAAACAAAGGAAAAAAATTTTGGAATCACTTTGGATAGATAATTAATTGCTTTGGAACAAAATTATACCATATTTCAAAACGTGCATCCAAAATGTATTATAGCGATCCTGGTTCTTCCTTCTTTGATTGTTGTACCCAGACTTAGGTTCCGTGGAGTTGGTTGTTGTATATGTCTTGTTGTCATCCTTTAATTCCATATATTTGAGTTTTAAGATGTATTGGGCGTGTTTTGAACAGGTTGGTTGAGCTTTTGTCCCAACTCTTGTTGCCCAGATTTTTAGTGATCCGCTCGAGCGGGTCTTCTTGCGCTCGAGTGGGTCTTCTTGCGCTCGAGCGGAGTTTGCACACCTTCAGTAGTTTGTCCGTCTGCAAGAGTTCTGCAGATGTGTTTTTCACGCTCGAGCGGATTTCCTTACGCTCGAGCGGGTAGCCTTGCACTCGAGCGGGTGTTCAATGTCTGTAAAAATACTGGAAGAGTGTAATCTACGCTCGAGCAGGTTTCCCTTTGTGCTCGAGCGGGTGTGTTTTGCAGTTGTGTCTTGACGCTCGAGCGAGTTCAGTTTTTTGTACTTGACGCTCGAGCGTACTAGTCGTATATCAGATGGCAGCTGGGTGATTTTGAATCACTTTTCACATTTCCTTTCTCTCTCTTACTTTTCTAAACCCTCTTTTGAGAGCTCCTCTCTAAAATATACCTTCTCTCTAGGGATTGATCTAGCTTGAGTGATCTACTCCCTTAGTGTCTTTGCAAAGAGTGTAGAGCTTAGCTTGAGCTTCCTATCAATTCGAAAATCTTGGGTTTTGGAGCATTTCGAGATTTCTTCATCATCTCCTTTGAGTTTCATCTCTTGGGGTAGGGATAACTACTCATTTTATGAGCTTTAACATAGATGTTGATTTTTTTGTATAAATGGTTTGATTTGGGAAGTTAGGGTTTGTGATGTGTTATATTGAAAAGAGAGGTTTTGTTCTTTTGATTCAAACATATGTGTTTTAAGTCTAAGAAGGAGGAAGGAGGAAGGAGAAGAGCTAAATTGACATGGATTGCGGTAGTAAGAAATTATATGAATTATTTAATTAATTGAACATATAACTCTTGACAGAGCAAAATGGCTAAAAGAATCATGTGGCCAACCCTATTTGATGAGGACAGAAGCCCTATTTTGGTTTGGTTTGGTTCGATTATCCATAGTAGGTGCATCAAGTCAAATTGACTCTCATGCTGTTAGTAAATTTATAATTTGACACAATAAATTGAGTGAGGCCTTCATAGACCGAAAACCTCTCAGCCATTGAATGAATTATGAACCACCAAAAAACTAGTCAAATGAAGCATCTCTCGCTATGACAGCCAACAAACCATCCTACTACCAAACTCCTAAGGATTCACTGTAAAGAAACAAACCCAAAAGAAAAAATTATAGATTGTGCCACGTAATGTGAAAGAAAATAAACCTTTTCCACAAAATAAAGATTGACAAAAATGGGGAAGAGGAGTTGGAGCAAGAGGAAAAAATAAAATGTACACCAACCATTGAATGGAGGGAGAAATGAAAACTGGATTTCAATCTAAAATCAATGTTAGTTACAATTTTAACAATTATCATTAATAATTACTATTAGTAAATACTACTCCCTCTGCCCCATTTTGTTAGTCCATAATTCCATTTTTGGACGTCCCAACCACAATGCGCATGTCCACTTTTGAAAAGTCAATGCACAAAAGTTTTATGTTGCCAAAGAATATATTTAAAGTAAGAAATAAAGGGGCAACGATGGGAATCAACACCTTTGAATTTGAATTTGAGCATATTAATTGCTTTTGTGTTGGGACAAGGGGAGCATATCTATTCTAATATATAAAGTGAATGCTGCTATTGGTGTTGACAATTTTTGTCTCATATTTTGAATTTTTCCAAAACACCTCTATATTTGGAGTTATATTTGGAGTTTTTGTAAAAATTATGCAAAAAAGAGGATGAGCCTCGAACCCATAACCTTGGATTTAATAATGAAAGTCCTTCCCACTTGAGCAACCTACATTATATATGTTTTTTTTTTTTTTTTTGAATTGCACATGCAAATGCGTGTAGTTAACAATTTATTGTAGCATAAAAGATGTATTATATCAAATTTATCATTATCCAAAAGGTAGGTTTCCAATTTTAACAACCTCGACACAAATCAACCATGAACAAATTTATTGAGTAAAAGTAAAGGCAACTGAAACTGGTATGTGATAAAAAGAAAGAGTAACTACTACTAAAACTCACCATCCATCCCAAACAAAATTGATCTCCTTGGTTTCATACCGAAAGCCGTCATCGTCGCTATAAGGACCGTAATGAAGTCCCGCAATTTCAAATTCAGTCGAATCCGAGTCAATGTTCCTAATTCAGCCCACAAAGCATAATAATAAGCATGAATTCCTATGGAAAAATTAAACAAAAAGCCAATAAATAAAAAAAAAAAAACATAATGATATGCAGAGAAGTGCAGATAAAGCTTACTCTGAGTTGCAAAAATCACCCCTCCAGTTCTCACTTTCAAATGTATTGCTCTCACCTTCGCTACCAGAAACAAGAGAAGAACTACTATTAATCAAGGTGTTTTCCTCCATCACTGCCTTGTTTTTCAATCTTCGATTGGATTGGACCTCTTTTATTTCTCCCTCCTCGTGATATTCCTTGTCTCTGAGACACCACACCACCACACAGCCAAACCATTACATCGTGAAAAAACAATTAAAATAAAAAAACTGATTGTATTCCCATCAAATAACAAAACAATCAATCAAAACGTAATTATAAATAACATTCAGAATGATGTGAGAAAGAACAATAATGTTAGACCCAAAAATTCTACCAAAATTTTACCAAGGTGTGCGAGACCTGGGTCGCACACTTATGTTTTGGTCAAAATTTTAGTCGAATTTTTGAAAAAAACTTTTGATTTTTTTGACTTTTTTGTGAGAGAAAAAATGTAATGATTATGAATTGGATGTGATATTTTGTCTTATTGAGCTAAAAAATCTATTTCATTTTTTATGGCTATTTTAGCCAAAAAAAACCCTCAAAAACCACTTCCCAAACATAGGCTTATAGGGTATATTTGGCTTGGCTTTGTAGAGTGATTTTGGGGAAAAAAAAAATTTAAAACTTGTTTGGTTTGTAATTTTTCCAAAACAATTTTCAAAATTACTTTCTCTATCTTACACATCAATCAATTATTTTTTCTCTCTCATCTCTCCTCTCTCTTTCTCAATCACTTTTTTCCTCACATACATCTACTCAATTACAACAAAATATCAAATCATTCAAAACTTCCAAATTCCAAAACTACTTTCAAAATACACAACCAAACAAACCAAAACAATTTCTAAAGTCTCTCCCCAAAACAATTTTTAAAAAGTACTCTCTCAAAACCAAACCAAACATACCCATAAATCCCATGTATTTATTATCCAATAAATTTTATAATAATTAATAATATTTTTTTATCAAATATTATTAAAAGATATCATTAATAGTTAATTTTTAATGACAGTTTAAAAATTTTATCATAAAAAATATCAATAATTATAAATTTTAATGACAGTTCAAAAAAATCATCACAAAAAAATGTCACTAATTTTTAATTTTTAGGGATAGTTTGAAATTTTTGTCATAGAAAAATATCACTAATTGTAAGTTTTAGCGATAATTTATAAAATTCGTGATAAAAAAAGTCTCTAATTATCAATTTTTATCGACAAATGCAAAAAATATTACAAAAAATTATTTTTAGCGATGATTTTACTAGAACTTAATTTTAATAGGACTTGATGGGAATTAAATCTAACTATTAGGACCTATTGATAGTTTAATTTTTTTAATTTAATTTTTGTAAAAGTTAAGGTAGTGTTTGGTAGAGTTTTAGAATTATGATTTGAGAATAAAATTATATTTTGAGTTTGTGAGTTTTGGAATTACGATTTGAGTGTGGAAAATTTGTTTAATTATGAGTTTTGAAAAGAGTTTTAAATTGAGTTTGAATTGGGTGATGTGACATATGATATTTGATACAAAAACGTACAACTCATAACCAAACACACAACCCAAAATTTTATTCAAAACTCATAAAAAAAAATTTAAAAAATTCACAAATATTTTTTTTAATATAAAAATAACATGCAAAAAAACTAAAAAAAAAAATAAATAAAAATAACACCGAACACTATTCCGGTCAACCGGCTGGACGATCGATGGGACGTCCGGTAGGACGACCGGTTAGCCCAAATTTTTCGCTTGGAAAGAGTTTTCGAAAGTGAGTGTAGAATTGATTTTTGAAAATGCTAAACAAACACCACACTCAAAAGTGAGCGTGAAACTATATTTTGAAAGTTCCACCAAACGGCAGTTTTTTTGTATTTTTTTATTTTTAATAAATTTTTTTTAATATTTTAAGTAATTTTTTTACTTTTTAATGCATCTAAATAAACTTAAAAGTAAAATATTTATAAAAAATAATTTTCAAACAATTAATAAATATATAAGAATAAGAAAATATATTGAATTTTTGTGTTTTTTTATATTTTTGGTATTTAATGAAATTTTTTTAAACAAAATTCATAAATGTTATACTTTTTAATTATATTTATATTAAGTGTATCTAAAAAGTATATGAAAAAATACTTAAAATATTTTTAAAAAATTCACTAAAAATAAAAAAATGCAAAAAATAAAAAATTTAATTTTCAAAAAATTGAATTCAGAAAATTAGAATCAAAAGGTTTTTCAAAACTCATTCCAAAACCCAAAATCTATTTGGCTTAAGATTTTCACAAAATTGATTTTGTTTGGTTTTCAAGTATTGGCCAAATAATTTTTTATGTTTTAGATCTATATGACCTAGATAGACATAAACAGTAAATAAAAGGAAAAATGACTGAAACATCCCTTTCCAACTTTGTGTAGTAAGAGAGGTCCAAGATTTTTTTTTTTATTAGGTAAGGTTTCTCAACATTTTCAAAAAAAAAAAAATTTAACTCAAAGAAGTTTTATCCAACTCAGAGAAATTTTGGCCCGACTCAAAAAAATTTCGAAATTTCTTTGGTATGATCTCAGAGAAATTTTGAAATTTTTTTGTGAAATCAAAAAAATTTCTCTGTAAAAATTGAAATTCTCCAAGTCGGGGCGAAATTTCTCTGAGTCGGACAAAATTTCTCTGGGTCGAATTTTCTCTGTAGAAACGTTAAAGGATCTTAACTACTATGAAAATATTTTATGTCATTTACTTATAAAATCTTAATATGAAGGACTTTAACTAAATAAAATGTAAAGAACTCAAAAAAAAAATTAATAAATCTATAAAACATTAATACTATATTAATTTTTAAATTGCGTCATTTTTTTTTTGTATATTTCTCATTATTCAGTAATTTTATAAAAAAATTATATTTAAGTGTGAAACGTTTTAAATGTGTGTAGATTGAGTGGATATAAAATCAGAAAAGAAGTGTTAAAATTTTAAAACGTTCGTAAAAAATAAAAAATATGGTGTGAAATTTTGTCTTATAAATTAAATTAGATACTTCTAAAACATAAATTTAGATTAGGTATATAAAAATAAAAAATAAAAAAAAGTAAACAAATTTGACTATAATATTGCCAAAAAAAAAAAAAAATTGACAACAAGATAAAAAAGAAAACACCCAAAAAAAAAACTCAAAAATTAGTTTTGAAAACTCATAACCAAACAAGTTTTAAATTTTCAAAAGTCTTTTCACAAAATTATCTTTCAAAACTAAATCAAACGTAGTCATAAATGCTAATGTGGTATGTTGGAGAAGTTATTAGTTGGTCTTGGGGTAACACCATGTATTGTTCCAACGGTATTGTGATTAGTCAAAGAGGTAGGGGCCAAAGAATTTGTGTTGGATGATTGGGAAACATGAGAGAGTATGGTAAATTGTAATTGGTGAGGGATACAACTATGTATCGCCCTAGACTAACCAATAATTTTTCAATATGTTGGGCTTTTAAGCCCCAAAACTCCACAATCTCGGATGCCCAGCCTTTAAGACTGCCTAATAAATAAAATAAAATAGATTACACTAATTTTCCTTAAAATTTAAAAAGCAGGGTAAATTTTACTTTACCTCCTTGTGATTTTGATTTAGGTCATGTGCAATTTATTTCCTAACATTTAGAAATAATCATATAACCCTCTTTATGGTTTGTAGACTGAAGTGCACCAATAGGCCCATTAACGATTTAATTAAAAAGACTAAGGGCTTGTTTGGTTTGTTTTTGGGAGAGTTGTTTTTAAAAAAAATTTGGGAGAGTTGTTTTAGAATTTTTTTTGGTTTGTTTGGTTGTATATTTTGAAAGTAGTTTTGGAGTTTGGGAGTTTGGGATGATTTGATATTTTGTTGTAATTGAGTAGATGTGTGTGAGAGAAAAAGTGATTGAGAAGGAGAGAGGAGAGAGAAAAAGTGATTGATTGATGTGTAAGAAAGAGAAAGTGATTTTGGAAATTTTTTGAGAAAAACCTCAAACCAAACAATTTTTTGGAATTTTTTTTCTAAAACTCATCTCTAAAACTCAAACCAAACATATCCCAAAGTACCCCCATATTTCGTCATTAAAGTGCACTCCTTGTGTTTTATTTCATATGCGATTTACCTCCTTGAAATTTAAAAATGGGCATATAACCCCCTTATCTTTGCTACGAATTTCACATTTGCTGTTAAGTTGGACAAAATGTTTAATAGTGCACTTCAGTCTACAAACCATGTGAGGGTTACGTAGTCATTTTCAAATATTTGAAGGTAAACCGCACATGACTCAAACCACAAAAAGCAAAGTGCAATTTGTCCTAAAAATACAATTAATTATAGAGAAAATTCTTCATAAATCCATATTCCTACCCCTATAACAAAAAGTCCATTAACAGATTTTGTTACATAAATACCACTTATGTGTTGAAATTTTTGTATTTAACCTATTTGTTCAAAATTTTATTTTATCTACTTGATTTTTTGAATGAATTTGTTCAAATTTTTATATATATGTCAAAATTATTGGAATATTTTTTATCTATCTATTTAAATTATTTCAATATTTTTAATTAATCTATTGAACCTATCTGTTCAAATTTTTATTTTATCTCTTCACTTTTTTGAACTTATCTATCAAATTATTTTAAAAAAATTGTTCAAATTTTTATTTTATCTGTTGAATTTTTGAACCTATCTATCCAAATTATTTTAACCTATCTGTCATAATATTTTTTTATTTATCTATACTGGTATTTTTTTTATCTGTACAAATTCAATCTATTATGTACAGATAGAGTCACTCTCTCTATATCTCTCTTCACAAACCCATTTATTGATTTTTTGGTCTACTTATAAATTTCTTCATATATATATATATATAGAGAGAGAGATGAGAGATGGGGAAAAAGGAAGAGAAGGCAGTGGAGAAAGAAGAGGAAATATGGAATTAGAAGAAGGAAGCCCTAATTGAGGAAGTGTCCGAAAAGCTCATCAATGACTTTTTCTTCTTTTTTTCTTTTTCATTTCTTGCAAAAAAGACTAACCCATCATCCACGGCGTAAGTTAGCTTCTACGCTAAGACCTTACGCCGATCTAATCCACTCTCACAACTCATGACAAACCTAGGTAGCGTTTGGTAGAGTTTTGTAAATGTGATTTGAGAGTATGAGTTGTATTTTGAGTTTGTGTGTTGTGGAATTATGATTTGAGTGTAGAAAAGTTGTTTGGTTATGGTTTTTAAATAGAGTGTTGAAATGTGTTTTGAAGATGTATTTTGAATTAAGTTTTCAAAGTTTGATGTGATATGTGAAATAAGAAAATTTGTTTGGTGATGTGTTTTCAAAATAGTTTTCAAAATAGTTTTCAAAACTTAATTCAATCAATAATTTATAATCAAACACACAACTCATATATCGATATCCGTATTTTTTATAACAGTAATAACCAAACTATTTTTAAAATACTGAAATTAAAAATTGATTTTTTTCAATTATTTTTTTTTCAGTAATTTTTGTTGAATATTTTTTTTTAAAATTATTTTTTCATTTTAAAATAAATCTATGTCAATTACTTTGTGTCAATTAATTTTTCTATCAATTCATTTTTTATGCTTGTACAAACATCTTGTACAATACGTTTTTTATTTTTTTTTAAATTTTGTTAAAGTCAACAACTTTTGAGAATACATATTAATAAAAATTAACATAAATGCACTAAGTTTAATATGTTAAAATAAAAATCATACCGTAAACCTTACAAAACATTATCAATTTTTTTCTCATTTATTACACATTATTAATTTACTAATAAAGGAGTAACAGATTGACCATGCATTATTGTACTTCCATAATCCGCATGCTCATATAATTGGGGTGAATTGGCCTGCAAAATTACTATTTTGTCCCTCCTCATTTAAATGGGAAGTTGTTACATAAGAACAAAATTAAAAGGGTAATTTAGTAATTTCACTTATCTACTACCTGTACATCATAGCTGTGTGTTCAACACTGAGCCAAAGAAAAAGGGACACGATGTATATCATAGCTGTGTGTTCAGTATACAGATGTACTATTATTAAAAAAATTATTAATATTATAACAAAATAATAGATAAGAAATAAAAAGTCAAAAAAAAAAAAATTAAAAAACAAGCTGAACCTTCTGAACCTCAACCTTCCTATAAAATCTGAATTCTCATTCCTTTAACAACACCATCTTCACCATCTCAGCTCCATCAAGAACATTAATTAAATTCAGTGTATCCGTGGGAAAGAAGATTTCAATTACAGGTTAGTTTCATTCCAGTTCATATTAGCTTCACATCTCATATTTTATTCAGAGTCGCTTTAGATAGTATTAAGATCAGAGTAGCTTCAGATAGTCGAAGAGTCAGAGGACAGAATGTCCAACAAGGACAACCGGCCGGTCATCCCATCTCACACCAATTATCTATTGCCGATCAGTTTTCTATCTATTTCTGATCTGTTCCTGTTTTTCATATCTGTTCCATTTTTTTACACCAACATCATACAAATACATTTTTCTTAACTCATATGTTTTAATATATATTTTTCATACATTTTTCTTTCACTGTTGCAGTCGTCATGCCAAGAACAAAACGAACCAGACCCGAACGTGGTGAATCCTCAAACCCTGTACAACATCAACCACAGCAACAACATCATGACAATCCAAATAATGATTTTTTAACGTATCATCATGAACAAGCCTATTCACATTTTATTAACCGACCAATTGTTACGGGGAGAAATGTAAGACTACCTTCTCAATATGATCCGCTCTTAGTTGGTAAATTAGATACAATGGGATGGTTACCTTTAACTAATTTACCAAATAAGGTATACTCCTGTCTTGTACGATTATTTTATGTTCACTTGACAGCTGGTGACCAACAAAATGAACCGTTCAGTCTGACCTCCTATGTGAAGGGAAAAAATATCACACTCAGTCTCCGTGCTTTCACACAAATTATTGGACTTGAAACAAGAGATTTACAATGCTATTTTCAAAATGAGTCTGCCTTAGAAAAAATGTTTGGTGATGTCACTCAGATTTATACCACAATTTGTGACAACCGATTCAGCGGCACTAATTTACTAGCCAGACATTTAAAACCCCACCTTCGTATTCTTCATTGATAGATAGTTGAAAATGTCACTCCAAAAAAAGGCCATTATGATACTGTTTCATGTTTTAATGTTTATTTGTTATATTGTTTTGAAATCGGACAAAAATTAGATTTATGCTTCATATTACTCAAAGAAATGATGATTGTAAAACTCGATCCTCTGTCTGGCCGGTCACTACCTTTTGAAGCTTTGTTAACCATAATTTTCAAAGTGCATGATGTCAACCTTGAAGGTGAAGGATATGTCAGAATCACTTCACCAATTTCTGAGTACACACTGACCCGAGGTGGTGGTGCTGACACCTTGATGGGCTCTATTAATATTGAAAATGAACCAATACCTGATGAGGAAGAACCCAATGACAATGCCATGCCACCAAATGAACAACCCCATTACTGGACTGATTATTTAGCCTTGGAACAAGAACGGTACAATCAGCGCCTACAATGGGAACAACAAATGGCTAATCAGCTCAATACATGGGTACTCAGTTCGATGAATTTGCCGCCGCTCAGAACTCACTTATTCAACAATTTGGTGAGTTTCGTGTAGACTCAGGGAGACATGATGAAGTGACAAGGAACCGCATTGATCAGATTGACCATCGAGTCACTCAGCTGTACCATCACTTTTACCCTCCACCTCCAACACTACCTGACAATGATGCTTAACTTGTTCAAAAATCAGTTTAAATGGTGAAACAGATGTAGTGGTTACATGTTTTTTTTTTAGTTTTTTTTTTGGTTATTTGTTTTCTTATTTTGTTGTGCTTGTTTTATTTTGTTAATTTGTTTTAAACTTCTGTATTCACGTCATGAATAACAAATAGTGTTTTTTTTTTTGAAGCATTCTAAAACAAGTTACAATGTTATAACAATATGTACGAAAAGATTTTGCATTGGAAAAATTATTTGCACAAAAATTAATAAATAGAACTTAATAAATGTCTAACAAATCCTTCATTTCAATAAAATGAATAAAAATTAAACAATTAAAAAATAATTTGTCTGTATCAATTAATACAAAAAATTAAATTAATGTTCTAAAATGAAATAAAACAAGTTAGAAATTAATAATAAACATTCTTTTTTTTTTTTAATGAAAAGGGGAAAAAAAAGTTAATATGAACAAAAATTAAAAAAAATAAGGTGTAAAAAGAAAAAAAAAATTAAATTGATAAACCAAATTTATAACAAAACCTTCAAATTGTTTACAATTTAACAAAAAGTCAAAAACACGGATATGTCATGTACAAATATTTTTCACAAAATTTAAAATAATAAATTGTAATTATTTTACTAATTTCAGTCATTATGACACATTTATTACATTACTTCACCCACCACCCAGGACCCACCACCCATCTGCCACCACCACCACCACCACCACTACCACCCACCTACCACCCCCACCCACCACTCACCTGCCCCACCCACCACTCGTCGCTACCACTTACCACTTGCCACCGTCACCTACCCACCCACCACCACCACTCACCACCACCACCACCACCCACCTGCCACCACCACCTACCCACCACCACCACCACCCACCTGCCACTACCCACCACCACCCACCACCCATCTGCGACCACCACATTTAAGTTAATAACAACATATTTATTTGTGAAAGTTACTCAGAAACACATTGCATATTAAATAGAACATATTTAATTGTCTTTGGTAGACTATACATAAAATTGCATATTACACATTGCATGAACAACATATTTAATTGTCCCCGTTACTAAGAAAACCATTATCTTGATTGCCCGTGTGATGATCTTTGTGTTTTCTTTCGTTTCATTGCCATTTAGCCCAATCGTTGTCTTCAGTATTAGTTATCCTACAAGAAGATAAAAGAAGTCAATAAATCACAGTTACATAAAGTGGGCGAAGTTATGTAGTAACGGTGTCATAATGGCTGAAATTAGTAAAATAATTACACATTTAAAACTAGTAGTCAGTACGATATTCACTTGCCTTGTTGACATCCCTTTTCTATCCATCGCTAACATGATTTTGCCACATAGCAGTAGCAATTTCATCCCTAACGTTCGATTGGTACGTTAACCCATGTTGTGACATGTCAACATACTCAGCTTGGTCTCCAGCAAGCCCGTCTACTTCTGCTTCTGCGGCCATTTCATTATCAGCTTCCATAAAGAATAGTTCCATAGCTGCATGCAAACGGATCCAATTGTGCACTACACAACATGCAATCACGAGAGGCCTTTGTCTTGTAGACTTGTAATTTGGCATGGACCGCAATATTGGGAAGCGCTTTTTCAGAACACCAAATGTTCTTTCTATGACATTGTGTAACGACGAATGTCGATGGTTAAACAATTCCTTAGGTCCTGCATAACGACAACCACGAAACTCTTGCAAGTGATACCGTTGAGACCGAAATGGAGCAAGAAATCCAGGCATGTTCGTGAAACCAACATCAACTAAATAGTACTTGCCTACATGTAAATAATGAGTACATAGTTCTGTCAATTGATATGTACAAAAAAAGACAAGGAAAAAAATGTACCGTATGTTATTTAGGGACAGTCACCATTGGGTGGGTGTGGGAACTGTAGATCAGCTCGTGTAATAGAGTCAACCAAAATAGCGTTGTCGTGAGCACTACCTTCCCATCCAGACTTAATAAATGTGAACAACATATCGAAGTCGCAAGCTGCGAGTACATTTTGCGATACTGTTGCTTTCCGACCGCGGAATGTATTTTGTCTTGGAGTAGGGACCCATGCATCCACCAATGTGCCATCGATAGCACCGACACAATCCTAATTGATAGATATTTGTTTGACATTAAAAGTGAAACAAACTTGGATAAGACTTAATAAATGTGAACAACATATCGAAGTCGCAAGCTGCGAGTACATTTTGCGATACTGTTGCTTTCCGACCGCGGAATGTATTTTGTCTTGGAGTAGGGACCCATGCATCCACCAATGTGCCATCGATAGCACCGACACAATCCTAATTGATAGATATTTATTTGACATTAAAAGCGAAACAAACTTGGATATTACTTTTATAATTAAAAATATATATATATATTTATTAACCCTTATTGATATGTGCAACTTACAGGACAGTCATATTGTCCGTACCTTGAACTAGGGAAAAAACCTCCTGTCATTTAAAATTTTTGCCGGTATGTCGTCTTGGTTACGTGGTTTGATAACCGATGATGCAAGCTTGCACAATGCCCGCATAACAATTTTTATGTGCCGACAAATTGTTTCCATGGAGTGTTGAAATCTATCTGCCATTATTCGATAGCGATCATTTTATGCAAAAGTGTATAAAAAAATTCCAAGCGATTCCTCTACACTGATATGCATATGTTCAGTATCGATAAAGCCATTATGAAATAAAGTGTCTTTCAATAAAATGAATGTTTGTGCATCCATTCGCATAACGTTCATCATTATTTTTGGATGGCCATTTAATAGGCCGAAGATGTAATCATCACCTTTGAATGGACACGTTCGCTGCGGTCGGCGACTACTTGCCGCGTTGATATGGTCATGCATGGAAATAATCATAAAAAAATCCATAAAATCATCAATAACCTCATCATCCTCTGATGAGATCTCCATTGTATTGTTTTCTCTGTCGGATGACATATGGTTTTGTCTATATCACAGTAAAAACATAATTATAAAATATGTTATTCATGTTGTAACAGTTAGCATTATTGGTGAAACATAATTAAAAAGTTAGTACATGAATAGTCGACCGTAGTCATTTATCAGCGTACAGTAAAATTCATAGGAGAACAAAATTTATTTAATACATGGTGATATTGTAATAACGGAACATAATTTGAATATAACAGAAAATACTAAAAAGTTCAACCAAAAAAAAAAAAAATACAAAGATAGAAAAGGAAAGAGGATATCATGGAATGAAAAAAAACAGAATAAAAACCAAATCAGGAATAATCAAATCATCAAACAGTTCAGCGAAGGAGATTTTGTTAACACAAGCAAAACAGAACTTCTCACTTCACTGCAAAGCGAGGATCATGGCTAGGCACAAATGGGTAGGAGTGCGCATAAAAAACCTTCGCCATTCCTTATCCTTGAACAGTGTCAGTGCCCTAACGTACTGCAACGGTGGTATGTCTCCAAGCTCTAGCAATGCATCTTGACATGCATCAAGGGAATAATCATCACCACCTGCACTTACAGCCTCTGTCTCATTTTCTCGTGCACGTGAATGTCCTGTTTTTGCTTGTACATAGGATGTGAAAGCTATGCATACATCATCAAACCCACTTGACCGTGACTTTTTGGAACGACCACTGTCAGTCTGGCTGGTTGTAGGGCCCCTCTTGTGACTTTTGCCCTTTGCTGGATCTATGTACTCATCCTCGAATAAGTCAACAAGAATGGCCTCAGTAGCATTACTCCCACCAGCATTACTCCCATCAACATCAGGGTTCCAAAATTTATTTAACATGTCATCTTCTTCTTCTAAGTCAAGGGCTCCTTGTGTGGATGCACGAGACAACGCCCCTGTTGCACAACAATTTTCCGCAATTTCTGCCATTTCTTGAAAATATTCAAATCCTTTTGTCCTAAACTTCTTCATATTTCTTCTAGCCTACAACAATTACAATTAAAGAATTAAGCACTGTATGTATCATGAAATGTTTAAAATAAAATTCCAAAATAGTACAGATTAATGAAAAACCTTATCCCAAAATTCATCGGGTGCAACAACAGTGCCTATAATGGGATCCCATCCCAGACCAGTCTCTGCCTGGAGTCGCTTAAATGTCTGGTAATCAACTTTCAATCGTTGATATTTTTGGCACACTTGCTTTCCTGTATACCGAAATCCATACATGTTGTGCAACTGATTTGCATAATGATTCCAATGCCTAATTGTCCACGAAGTAGTACGGCCCGTTGTTTGATTGTTTCTAATCTCATCTCTCAACATATTTATTAATTTCGTTTCAATTCTGGGCGTCCACATTTTTGTCTCTTGATTGTCATCAGAATTATTTTCATCCATCTATAAACATACAAATTATATTTAAACTAGTCTGGGGTGGATATACAAGAATAATAAAGCATTTTAAACTAGTTTGGGGTGGATATACAAGAATAACATAGCAAAATGGTTTGAAGGAGAACACAGATAAGGAAAAAAAAGCAAATGCTTTTATTTGAAGAGAACAAATACGTAACAGATTAGTTAAATTTAAATAGCATAAATATAACCACAAATAATAAAAAAAAATCAGGTAATGTTGTCTTTAAATTGTACAAAAAAAATCAGTAAAAGAAGAAGTAAGGAAGAAAATATTTAAAAAAAATCAGTAAAAGAAGAAGTAAGGAAGAAAATATTTAAAAAAAATCAGTAAAAGAAGAAGTAAGGAAGAAAATATTTAAAAAAAATCAGTAAAAGAAGAAGTAAGGAAGAAAATATTTAAAAAAAATCAGTAAAAGAAGAAGTAAGGAAGAAAATATTTAAAAAAAATCAGTAAAAGAAGAAGTAAGAAGAAATAAAGGAGGAACATGAATGAGAGTGGGTTGGTCGACCGGCCGGATGACCCGGGGGACGACATCATCAAACCCACTTGACCGTGACTTTTTGGAACGGCCACTGTCAGTCTGGCTGGTTGTAGGGCCCCTCTTGTGACTTTTGCCCTTTGCTGGATCTATGTACTCATCCTCGAATAAGTCAACAAGAATGGCCTCAGCAGCATTACTCCCACCAACATCAGGGTTCCAAAATTTATTTAACATGCCATCTTCTTCTTCTAAGTCAAGGGCTCCTTGTGTGGATGTACGAGACAACGCCCCTGTTGCACAACAATTTTCCACAATTTCTGCCATTTCTTGAAAATATTCAAATCCTTTTGTCCTAAACTTCTTCACATTTCTTCTAGCCTACAACAATTACAATTAAAGAATTAAGCACTGTATGTATCATGAAATGTTTAAAATAATATTCCAAAATAGTACAGATTAATGAAAAACCTTATCCCAAAATTCATCGGGTGCAACAACAGTGCCTATAATGGGATCCCATCCCAGACCAGTCTGTGCCTGGAGTCGCTTAAATGTCAGGTAATCAGCTTTCAATCATTGATATTTTTGGCGTACCTGCTTTCCTGTATACCGAAATCCATACAAGTTGTGCAACTGATTTGCAAAATGATTCCAATGCCTAATTGTCCACGAAGTAGTACGGCCCGTTGTTTGATTGTTTCTAACCTCATCTCTCAACATATTTATTAATTTCGTTTCAATTCTGGGCGTCCACATTTTTGTCTCTTGATTGTCATCAGAATTATTTTCATCCATCTATAAACATACAAATTATATTTAAACTAGTCTGGGGTGGATATACAAGAATAATAAAGCATTTTAAACTAGTTTGGGGTGGATATACAAGAATAACATAGCAAAATGGTTTGAAGGAGAACACAGATAAGGAAAAAAAAGCAAATGCTTTTATTTGAAGAGAACAAATACGTAACAGATTAGTTAAATTTAAATAGCATAAATATAACCACAAATAATAAAAAAAAATCAGGTAATGTTGTCTTTAAATTGTACAAAAAAAATCAGTAAAAGAAGAAGTAAGGAAGAAAATATTTAAAAAAAATCAGTAAAAGAAGAAGTAAGAAGAAATAAAGGAGAAAAAGGAAAAGGAGAAGGGACGAAAGGGAGGATAGGTAGGTCGACCGGCCGGATGACCCGGGGGACGACCGGCCGGGTGTCCGAGGTACTTTTCGCTTAAGTTCTCTTCGTGCAAAGGTTCAAACAGTTCAGAATTTCAAATACAAAAAGATCTGAAATGAAAAATACTCGTCTACAAATTCTTAGAAATCATTTCGGAACTGATTTCCACTTCTGTGAAATCATTTATACATAATAGATGAAGATTTATTTACCAGATTAAAGGTTGAAATAGTTCAGGAAAATCACAAAACATCTAAAACTAAAAAAAATTGTTGGCTACCCTTCTCATAAACAATTTGAGAACTGATTTCCACTCGTCTGAAATAATTTGCACACAACAGATGAAGGAATTATTTACCAGATTAGTGGGAGTTGAATAGTTATCTCCGGTGATGGAATGTTTATACTGACTGAATGTGCCACTCTTTGCTCGTTGGATTTGACAGTAGATTTGATAAATTTGACCTGAAAAAAAAAAAATTTAAATTAGGGATGAATTTTTCAAATCATTTCCCTATAACAAAATTCAATCAATAAATTTGTGAGTTTTTTCACCTCGCACTCATCGTTGTTTGGTTGCTCATAATAAGAATCTTCCGCAACGCGCAAATTGTAAGTCAGTTGATTTGTGGAAGATGATACCAGTAGGGAGCGGGTTGGGTGGATTCATTATTTATAAAATAAGTCTGACTTCTCTGTGAAGCCTACCCGTGACGAATGTTAAGTAATGATGTTTGATATAGAGAAAGAAAGATGAGGTTCACGTGAAATTTTCAGAGACGATGGAGAAGGATGATGGAAGCTTTTCAGATCAAAAGAGGAAGAAGACAGAAACGTTGAAAGTGGAGATACAAGTTGCCAAACGGGTTTTCAAATTGTAATTTGAATTAACACGCAGAATTGTATTTTGAACTACCTATCCAAACGTGAAGCGGGAGTTCACGTGTTGAAAGTTAATTTTTAAATACAAACAAACAAAGCCTATAATTTCCCCCTATATTGATTCTCTTCTAGTTTTCTTTGGTATTTTTAGCAAAATTTGAAGTAAAAATAATGATGGGGTATGAAAACAAAAAAACCCACATTTACCGAAAGAGATGAAAGAGTCTTAATGATGGAGTTTCTTTCTCCTCCGACTCTTAGTGTCTCCACCACCACCCTCTATCTTCATCATCTCTACCCTTCGCTGAGATTGCTACCGATGATGATCCCCCATACTCCATCGCTTTTTCACCATCAAAACCCCTAGTTTCGCTTTCAACTCCATCATCCAACCCTTTTCCTACGCCAACACCATCTTCAGATCTTTTGACGAAGACTAGACCAACAACAGCAAGATCAGCGACCACGATAGCTCCGAAAAACCTTCGTCTTCATCACCGTTTGAAGTGAGAGATGGGTTGTTGGGCACAATTTGTACAGATAATGTGCTATTCTTATGGACCAAGTAAATTATTTGCTTGTCCTTACGGACCCAAACAAAAAGGCCCTAGGATCTATGCCCTTAAAAGTCTATAAAATGGACCTATGGCCGAAACACACTTAATTCTATACTTTTGACATAATTATACTGATTTTCTTTAAAGTTTTAATTTGCATAACACTAAATTTATGGTTAAAATTGAATCAATTGAAATGAAAGAAATCAAAATGGCACAATACACAAACTATAAACTATAAACTATAAAGATTAATTTTCCCTTAGTTTTATTTTGTTTTATTAGAACTTTTCTATTACCATTTAAACTGATTCATTTTTGTATTTTGATTTAAAATAATAGTAATGTAGGTAAAAACTGATTGGAGCAAAAAAAAAAGTGAAGTACATATCATATGCACCCTATCATAAAATATGTAAGTTTATCACAAAATTTCATAATATCAACTACAAAATATGTAAAATCATCACAAATTGACATAACAAAAAATATTGTAATCAAGGCACAAACTTTTGCAACATCAATCATAAACCTTTAGACATTTTGTTATGCCAATTTATAACAATATTACGCATTTTGTTATTAATATTGCAAAAATTTATGATAAAATTATATATTTTTGTGGTAAGGTACACATGGGCATAAGACTTCCCAAAAAACTTGTTTGATTACAAGATGTCAAAAGTAATTAACCATCTTTTGTGAATAAAAAAATTCAATTCAATTCTGATAATAACTTATGTTTCGTTTAGGACAAACTTTTTTAGCCTCGATTTTTTTATTTTTGACTATTTTAACCTAATTAAAAAGATTCTGTTTAGGATAAACTTTTGATTTTTTTTTTTGTAATTGATTTGATTGTTGTAAGAGAAAAAATAATGATTATGGTTTGGACGTGACATTTTGTGTTATTGGCTAAATTAGCCTATTTTGTCTTTTTGTAGGCTAATTTAGCCCACCCCATTTGGCAAACAAAGCCTAAATTTTGTTTTGTTTTGTTTTGTTTTTTTTTTTTTATCAATAATTCGCTAGTCATGTGAATGAAAAATATAATATTATCATTTTTTTTGCTAAAATATATATTTTATCTTTATTTATTTTAGTGTTTGTTCACCATTTGCATTAGTTTCAATTGCTTTAACAAAGAAAGGGAAGTTAGAATAGTTATTGAAAAAATGTGGGTTTAACTGTTTTTTTTTTAAACTTCAAGGGTAATGTAATTTAACTTGAAAAAGTGATAAATTACAAGTTAGTCCTATAAGATTGACTTAAATATCTATAATATTGTATATTTTTTAAGGGGTAATTATCAATTAGTCCCATTAAGTAGACTTAATTATCATTTAGTTCTATTGCCTTTTTCATTTTTCTTTTTTTTATCGGCGAAAATCATTTGTTGGTTAATGCTTATGGAAGTTGACCTCCTCACGCTTTGCAAAGTACCAAGTGCTTGTCCCCTTAATTCAACTCTCCCCAAGGAGAGTTGAATCCATGACCTCCCTCTAGGGACTAAGCCCTTAGGAAAGTCCTATTGACTTTTTGGATGCACCAATAACTCTTGCCCTCATTAAATACTTAGCAAAATCTTCCATTTTCTCCCATCTTCTTTCTCTATCTCTTTGTCTTTTTCCATAAAATTTTTCAAAAGTTTCACACCACCATTGTTTACCACCGCTATCGTCTACCCACCACCACCACCATCATCACCATCCACCCGCCACCACCATTGTTATTGTCTTTTTCCAAATTTAGGTTTATTTTTCAGTGCTAAATTTATCAATCTATCTTTGTTGTTTGTGTATGTGGAAGATGATGGTAGATTCTTATAAGTGAGTGAGTGAATATGAGTAAGGATGGTGAATATTAATGAATAAATTTACAG